AAATGCCTTGGCGGGCTGCTAGGGGCAATCTTACACGAGATAGGAAAAAAAAAAAAAACACTCATTCACAAGAGCAACGTAATTCCTGCAAAACATATTGGAAGTCATGTAGAATAAATTAACGTAACTAACAATTATTTGAATTTTCTAATAAGCTTAGCATCTGATCTCTTTTATCTTATCCCAGGTTATAAGAAAGAACCATAGACAATGTTGAAATCTATAAATGATCTATTAGAATCCAATGTATTCAACTTCGTCGGAGCCAAAAAAATAACATTAAGATGGGCTGAAATTTAAAAAAATTCGAATGAATTCGCGCCATAAGAGGTAAACTCATGACAAAGAGTGTACGACACTCAATGAAATAAAAGAAGTCTGGATGTTTCATCCTAAGATATCCCACTCGATCTTTTTATATTTTCTTACCAAATAGAAAATCAACGGATGGGTTAAAAAATATAAATTGACCACATCCTAATCGAAATAAGTAAAGGATACGTATCCATTAATAAAAAACTAAGAAATTATTTAATGAATGCTATTCTAAAAAACTTTGACGAATCAGTTTTTCCAAACAATTGAAACACACAATCAATAAAGATATTAACGTTTCGTGAATATCATGAAAAAAATATTTAATAATTGTAGTCCCTTTAACAAAAATTGAATAAATGAGCATTAAACTTGGGTTATAATTCAAACTAGAGTTGGGCTAACACAAATATTTGGGTCAAAATTGAACAATTTACTCTAAATTTTCCATATGGGCTGGGGGTATAGCCCAGCCTAGCCCCCACTACCTCCGCCCATGGTTGAAGTTAGATGACAACTTCATTTACATGTAATTCTATATTTCACTTACTAAGTCTTAAAGATTATTCTACCTATATATTAAGTGTTACATCGAGGGTAACATAATTTACATGTGGCATCCTATCACTGGTCAGACGAAATCGATTTTTTTCCTCCAACCAATGGCATAGTGCCACATGTACATTGATGTAGTCGTTAATGTACCTGTAGCAAAATCAAGTCCTAATACTGGACAGGTATATCCATTAACAAAATGAATCTTTTCTAAAACAAGATCAATTTTCAAGACAAATATCAATTTCAGACTGCAGTATAAAATGTACCCTTGATATCTTATGTATCACTAAAAAAGCCCCCACAAATAGATCACCAGAAACAGAACAGCTTCAAGCTGCGCAGGAAAGTGGGTGAACGGGAAAATGAAGCAGTACCCGAAAGGAAATTCTGGCATTATGCAGTAAAATATTAATTAATTAATCACACGAGCATTGTATATAACAAATTAACAATAATGTCAAAACCGTTGCCTTAAAGCCACAAAATGAAACCTAATTAAAACAGTGCAACTTAAAATTGCAAAATTAAACCAGTATGAAGTGAGTGAATGGAAATGGGGAAATTTAATTTAAATTATTACCGTGGGCTGAATCGCCACCGACTTTGTTGATGGCCATGGCAATGCCGATTACGATTCCGATGGCACCAAAGACGAAAAGCGAGATCGCGAGTGCGATCTCTTTGATTGGCGGCTTGTTGCTCACTGTGTACGAGGATTCCATCATCATGTCCTCGTCCGATATCGAGAACGCGTGATCCACGTAAGCCATGTTTTCTCTTTCTTTGTTTCAATTTTAAGGAATTTTTATCCTTCTGTATTTCTTGTATGAAAATATGGAGAATCGTGTGAATAAGGGATTGGAATCTGGGATGCTATGCGTGGAGAGGAAGAGGAGGAGTACGACACCACGAGCTGAGTGCTCGAGTATGGAGCAAGGGTAATGCTAAATCCTTTGAGTGACACGTTGAAAAGGTTGGGTAGGACTTAACATTAAACTTTAAATGACTTCACGTTTGGTCATTAAAGGCGTTTGATTCTCATTAATGTAGAATGAAAATAAAATATATAATCGTTATTGGCCCCATACAAGATATAGAAATTTAAAATTGATGGCTTGATGTGATAAATAACGATCATATTTTTCATTTTTATGGATGAAAAATGAGAAACAAACGAGGGTTAAATTCTACTGTGTGTACAGAATACTCTACACACACAGAAGCCAGCCATAACACTCACAAGCAAGTGGGGCCCGACATCTTTTGCAATATTTTATTCACAGTGGGACTCACCTCCATGTGAGATTTCTGGTGAAATGGAATTATTCTTAAATTTTAGCCATTGTTTTCCCCCATTAATTTAAAATGTATTTTTTACTTTTTTATTTTCAACCACATATTTTTTTAATAAAATAATATTACACAGAAGTCTAAATTTTTTCCACAATAGGGACAAAGGTCGAGGAGTTTAGTGTCAATAAACCATTAGAGAACTAAAAAGTCATTTTCTAAAGGTTCAGACTGAATTTGCTAGAAAGTGTAAAAGTTGTGGACTGATACACAAATTTTTGAAAAGAACAAAGAAAATGGAAAAGGACGTGAAGGTAGTTGGGATGTGAATCTATGCTCTTCCATTAAGAAGATTAAAAACTTTACCACAGAACAAAAAAGGGCTTTCCACATTACTATAAAATTTAAAATTTTACATTGGAACAAAAGAAAACTTTTTGTTGGTAATAGTGCGACCGCCTCATGAGCCTCACCTCGAACTCGGCCCTGGGCATAAGAGTAGGATTTGTGATCCCATATATATACATGTTAAAGGGATAGTAAACCAGATAAATGAGCCACCCCAGCCCGCTATGCCCCCCGTCTTAAGTGGCCACGAAAGGGTCGATCTAAAACCGCCCTATTAGCAACCCTACTCTATCTTTAACTGCAACTTACACTAATCGTCATCAATAAAGCTCCATGTGCAAGAAAATTTTGACAGAATTGATATCGATGCCGACGTGGTCAAACCTGATTTGCCTTTTTTTTATTTTTTTTAATCTTCCATTATTGTCATGTCAATTGTTGTCTGTCAAAATTTCTTGTTCAAAAAAATTTTAATTCCCAATTTCATATATGGTCGTTACTTTCAATGGAAAGATGACGTGGTATCAAAACTAATTTAAAAATCAACTCTTTATTTCCAACAAGGCATAATCGTTGCTAGATTCTTATTTCATTTAGCAAAAATAAGTTTTTTCGTGACAATTATAGCATCCTTATGCTTTTAGGGCTCCTTAAAAGATAGATTGTCAGTGCTTTTTTTCGTGAGGGAGAATTAACATTGTTAAATGATTGTGACCCACCAAGCCCCACTTAAAAGGATATTACACAAGCGAATATGATTTTCACAAGGATAGAAGATGACTATGGACCACCTAAAAGTAACTTTTGTGTTCGATAACTAAGAAGGAATATTCATGATAAGTTATCCTTCAAACTCTTCAAAACTTTCTTGGAGCCCAATTTTCATTTTATGACTAGAAGCTTTTAAGAATCCCATATCAAGTAATATGTATTTCAAACTTCAAAATCCTAGAGAACACAATTCCTTTGTATCGATGAATCATTTTCATGTAACATTACAACGACAAACAAAGAATATGACAACAATAACGATACAATGATATACTAACACTACTTGATTGATCCTAAGGTTACTATTAGGGGTGGGCAAAACTCGATCGAACCTGCCAAAACCGTCCAAATTGAACCAACCCGACCGGTTTGGTTGGTTTTTTTGTTGTTTTTACACATGTTGGGTGGGTTAGTTGTGTAGGCGGGTTGAGTCGGGTTGGGCCGGATTATGGGTTAACTTATAAAAATCGAATAAACTCGCTCAACCCAATCCGACTATATTTATGAACTTTACAAGTGTGATAATATTATTTGGAAACTCTTAGAATGATATTATAAGATTTGGATATAATGCATTTTACGTAAAATAGTATAAGCAAATACACATTCAACACAAAAATATTTTAATTGCCAAAAAAATTTATTGGCTTCATATAATTTAATATCAATTTGTCCATGTAACATTTCCGAGTATGAAGTGCCAAAATAATTCAGATTTTTTGTTCATTGCAACTATGGAGACCTAATATTATATAAGTCATGAGTCAATTATAAATCCGCCCAACCCGACTCTCATATTTTAGTTTTTGTTGACAAGTTGTCTCAAACCGACCAATCCAACCTAACCTGACCAATACTTGATTAGGTTGGGTTTCAACCTTTATACGGGTTGGATTTGGTTAAATTATGATCAAATCGATCATGTTGAGTAGGTTGAGACAAAAATCGACCCAACCCAACTCAACTCAACTCATGCCCACCCCTAAAAGTCTACATGACAATTAAAAGTCTACGTAAGAATCATATGACTCTATCGTCCCTGTTTGGTGGAGAGTAGATTTTGATAGATGTATAAGGATAATATAATTCTATTGAAAATTTGGCTGAGGCGCGTTTTGGTGTTTTAGATTAATGAGTTGTCATTTAATTTCTAAGCTGGAAATATTTAACTGCTAAATGTACAATCCTTCAGCCACATAGGCAGGGGTTATAAATATATTTTGGCTTGTTTGGAAGTGATTTCCTTCTTCCAAGAATTGATTTTCCTACCGTTTATTTTTAACCGTTTCTCACAAAAGTCTCGGCCGCAATTGTGGAATTCTTACCGTGAATGTAAGTTCAGTGAGTAAAATATGTCATTACCCAAAGTTCGTGTGTCGAAACAATTAACTATTTGGCCGTAGATTAATTGTTCCAGATTAAAAAACAATTTTAGGCTCATATTGAAAATAAAAATAAAGGTCTTGTTAATTCAGCCGTCCCGCGCCCGTAGAAGAGAAGACGCGTCGTGTTCCGTCCTTCGTTTAATGGCGCTTAACTGGAAAATATTTACACCTTGGACTCTCCGAAATCCTTCGCTTTCGAATTTCGATTATTTCTATAATCTTCTTAATTCTATACGCATACTGGGACGCTGTGGCTGAATGCAATACCTTTTTTCTCCATTCTACGGAGAAAGAAAAGAAGTTTGCTTATTGCTGTAGATATTTTTGAGAAAAATGCCTCGCTTTGCACTTGATGGTATGTATGATGACCGGGTTTTTAGTTCTACTCTGAATTATATCTGTTTGTGTTTAAACTGTGAGGCAATCAAAAATGAAATTGAAATCCCTTTTAAATATTAAGTGAATATTTTTTTTATAGAATACAAGTGTAAAATCACCTTTTTTTCGATTTTTGAATTCTATGGATCGAATTGGTTTTCGTATTTTTGGATTAATCAGAGTATGGTCGATGGAACAGAGAATTTATGTTTTCAACCTCAATGTTCATTGAGAATAAGGTTTAGATTGTTGCTGCTGTAATAGGCCATAAACCAAATAGTATTTCCAGTAATTTATCAATTTTTTCAATGTAAGATTAATTGACAGATTTCCATAGCCGCATTGCTCTTTCACACATAGTGACAGGATCTTCGAAATAACCATATAAAAATATCGAGGATTGTTCTTGGTTACAAGTGGATTGGATAGACATTAGTAAGAAAGAAAAAGAGGTTAAAATTGTGTCCATTACATATTTTGATGCAGTTGCTGCATTACTGGATCTCCTATTACCTTCTTCATAAAGATATATTCTTCTATGTAGCTCTAAATTTTTTACCTTGATGAAATGTAGTTTCAAGAACATGGGATGTGAATGCAATGATCGCTCCATCGGCCTCACTTGGTGAACAGAGCACCACGTCTAGTCAGCCTTCACCGGCTCTATTCTTTTTCCTGGGAGGGATAGTCATAGTCCTCATTGTTCTCATCTTGATATTTGTGTTCCGGAAAATTATTAAACCAAAAAAATTGAAAATGTTCATTGCTCGCACAATGAAGCAACCAGGTTGCAGTTTTGATCATGTAATAGCATCATGAATTCTGCTGCATTACTTCAGTGGGATCTAATTTTTTTAGTCTATTGCAGTAGCAAAGGATGTCATAAGTGGAAATCTTCACACAATAAGCTATTATGATTTCCAGACACTGAAGAAGGCAACCAAAAATTTCCAAGAGAAGAATGTGCTTGGAAGAGGTGGATTCGGACCAGTTTTCATGGTAATGATATGGAGAATGTTCTATTTGTTAGATATTATTATTTCAAATAAAAAATTTAAAAATATGGGTAAGACCTTTGTGGAGTCAAGAATTTAGCTCCAATCTGAATCTTGAGTGCAATAAAAAGCAAGCATAAATTGGGAAAATGCAAAGCAATACATAGATTATACTGGTTTGCCCTCAATGTGGAGCTCCTTCCACTTTCCATTGCTTGTTTAATTGTTTTCACTAAAATCGATAGAGAGTAGTTTGCAATAGAGATTTCAGACCTTTATGTTTTATTTCTCACAATGCAGAAAAATGAATGCCATAGATTCCTTTATATTAGGTTTCACGCAATCCAACATTTGGGACCCTTGCGCACTACAGATTTCTACAATTCATGTGAATAAATGACTATCCTTTCCATATTCACATTGTATTTAGTATTAGAAAAATGACCTCATTGGCATGTAGAATGCATTTTTTATATATAATTACTCTTTCCATATGATCATTTAATAGGGGAAGTTAGAAGATGGGAGGTTGATTGCTGTAAAGAAGTTGTCACTTGACAAATCACAACAAGGAGAATCGGAATTCCTTGCCGAAGTGAGGTTGATCACTAGTATACAGCACAAGAACCTGGTCCATCTTCTGGGCTGTTGCTCTGATGGAGCTCAGAGGCTACTAGTGTATGAATACATGAAGAATAGGAGTTTAGACCTCATCATATATGGTACCATTTATGAACTCTGAGTTGACCCATGTTACTCGAAACATTTTGTGATGTGCTTGATCGTGGGCTTTTTGAAGCTTATTGGAAGAAAATAAATAAATGGAGTTGAAATAGAATTGGACAGTCATAACTAATATTTGTATATAATATGTGTGATATATGATTATAACTGCTTAGAGACTTAATAACTGTTAGAGGGGGGGACGTGGGATTGAATTCATCAATATCTCTACCAAAACGATAATGTGGTTAGTGAACACCGTGAACCTTCCAATCTGAAGACAATGCTAGAACACTTAACTTTTATCCTTATTATAGTTTTCTGTTGATAACGATCCTGCCCAGAAATAAATGAAAGTATTGTTCGCTATTTGATTAAATTCCTAAACAACTGTCTTGGATTTTTGGTTTGATTACTGTGTGGTGCAGAGAAATGTGAACCATATTTAAACTGGACAACTCGCTTCCAAATAATTCTTGGTATTGCTCGAGGGTTGCAATACCTGCATGAAGATTCACACATCAGGATTGTACACAGGGATATCAAAGCCAGCAACATTCTCCTGGATGACAAATTTCAACCTAGGATTGGAGATTTCGGCCTAGCCAGGTTTTTTCCTGAAGGTCAAGATTTTCTCAGCACTAGATTTGCTGGAACCTTGTAAGTGCTTTTCCTTATGCAAGTAGAATACCACTCATACTCACAGAGAATGTTGATCATATTCATGCTTCAACAAAAAGAAGTTTCTGAAGGATTAGAACAGATAAATATGTAACAGGAAATAAGTTGGTTTTTTTATCACGACGCCCAGAGTTTTTATCACCTGAATCATGTAAAGTTTCTCTTTCTTGGTTTATTTTTCTCAGCGTTCTTCTGTAAACTACAGATATAAGAGCATGTTTGGAAAATGTTCACAAATGGTGTAAATTATATATAGATAAAAATGAGTTGTGGATAATGAGTAGTACTTGTGAGTCTCTCAAAATGTGTGGATAAAAAGTGGTTTTAGTGTTCATAAACATGAGCCAAACATATGCTTAAATGTTGGCTCTGTTTGCAAATTAAAGCGCATGCGTGAAGGAGAAATGCACATCTTCCAAACAAGGTCGGAAAAGATAATGCCTAAGTTTAGAAGAACACCGAGAACTACATATATTGGGTCAAGGGCTGGAAAAAACTTCAGCATATAGTAAGTGTAAGAATGGAGTTCTTGCCGGTGATAAAGTTGAACATAAATTGAAAGAAACATTATGGAGTTGGAAGAATATAAGTTCGTCAACACTTGTGACACATCATCAATTGATTAGTTTAGTCTTCTAAGAGCTACGCCGACTATCACTTTTGGTTTCTCATAAAGCATACATTGATGTTATAATTGAAATATGTTTGTTTACATTATATTATACATTATGTTTGCAGAGGTTACACTGCGCCTGAATATGCCATTAGAGGAGAATTGTCCGAAAAGGCCGACATATTCAGTTTTGGAGTTTTGGTGCTTGAAATTATTAGCTGCAGGAAAAATACGGATCTTTCTCTGCCCTCAGAAATGCAATACCTCCCTGAATATGTAGGCTCTTTTGAAGCTTTCTAAATGTAGATTTGCTTTCTGATCTCACAGTGAAATTCAAATTTACTTATCTTTCTGCAATACATGTGTTGCAAGGCCTGGAAGCTATACGAGCGGTCGAAGTTGGTCAATCTCATAGATCCAAGAATGCGAGACAGGGTTGTGGAGAAGGATGTTTTGCAGGCAATTCACGTGGCCTTCCTATGCCTTGAGCCTCGTGCGAATTTGAGGCCACCAATGTCTGAGATTGTAGCAATGTTAACATGCAAGGTTGATGTGGCCGGAAAACTTACTAGACCTGTCTTCTTGGATAGAAAACAAAGGCAAGACGAGAAGCTTTCATGGGATTCACTAACAGAGCCTTCCCCCGTCTCCACTGAGGAGTGATTCCCTTCGTTTCCTTGGCCTCCAAAGTAAAGGTTTTAGTCTTTCAGACATGATCTTACTAGGTAAATCATAAAAAAATCGCCCTTTGTGATTTTAGCGTATCTTGTAACATGCACAAACCATTTTGTTCCCTTTTTCGTAGGATGAGCAGCTTTGTTTCTTCATATTTTTTGAGTGGACAATTCATTTTCAGTGGAAGAAACTAGCATTCATAATTGTACATGAAACCTTATTGTTACAGCAAACTCAAATTGAATACGATTGTGTAAGATTTTTACCTACACTTTTGAAGATTCAATTTCATTATCAAACCGACCCCAATCTTTATAAAGTGCAATTTCCACTTCAAGGATATATCTATTACGACCAGGGCTCAGTTTTACCCACATCCTACACACCAAGCAGTCAAGCACGCTTCAACACTCTTGCCCAATAATCTATAATCCAATACTAGGAGGAATGGCCCTTGAAACCACGAAGAAGATAAGATATTCATCACCAAGAATGAGATTATCACAAAGAGCAAGACGGCAATAGAGCGAACCAAAAATCACGAATTCTTTTATGGAGAGCGCTTTAGACACCACTTAGAGAGAGTAATGAGAGATTGTGAAAATTATTTTTGGATTTAATCATGTATACATATAAATCTCATTCTTATCACGGTCTATTGGTCTATCCTTTCATTTAATCCTGTTGTCATGAGCAACACATTATTAAAAGTGTTAAAAGCCTCGAATGACAATTTCTATTTCTCGGCCGGGTCAATGGGAGTTTCGGTGTGCGATGTTCTGGTCTATAATTTTCTCTTCCTACAAATCAAATACCCATCAATACTCTTGTCCGATAACCTATGATCCAACACTAAGAGGACCGGCCCTTGAAACCACAAAGAAGACAAGATTTTCATTAACCAAGAACGAGATTATCACAAAGAAATCAATCACAAAGAACATGCACAACAATGGTAGTGAGCAAGAAGAAGCGCTAGAGAGAACCAATTCACAAAGACTTCTTTTAGAGAGGGAGCGTTAGGCGTGGCTTAGAGAGAGAGAGAGTGATGCGAGATTGTGCAAATGATTTTAGGGTTCAATCATATATAAATAATAAATCTTAACTATCCAATCTCATCACAATTCAGTGACATATATCATCTCAATTGAACCAGTTTCATGAGCAATTAGGGGTGGACATTGTTTCATTTGATTTTGGTTCCAAGGGAACTAAACTGAACCATATCATGAACCAATAATTTTTTTGATAATAGAATCAAATGATTTTTTTAAAGATATGGAACCAAATTGAAATCGAACCGTTCGATTCTAGTTTGGTTTGGTTCTAATTTCATTACTGTGTTGAGGAAAAAGAGAGAACATTTGAGGAAGAAGAACCGAAGGTTGATGCTTCAATTTCAGAAATCCTGCAACAGTAGACGACTCTATAGTTGTTTGTTTCCATGAAAGAGTTAATTAATGTATAAATCGAAAAGGAGAGAAAAATGAGAAATGAATTAGGGTGTTCGGTCTCCACATTAAGAAGTGAGAGACCGAATGTACATAATCAATGAATTTTTAATTATTATTTTTGCGAATTGTAATTTACTAATTTGTAGTAGTAGTAGTAGTAGTAATAATATTGAGATTGATTCTTGGTTTTAGAATTAAAACTAAACCAGAACGAGAACCAGATTCAAATGGTTCTTAATTTTAAGAATCAAAATTAATAATTTTTTTTTGTAAAGCCGAATCGAACCGTTCGATTTAGTTTGATTTGATCATTTTGTCCACTCCTATTGGCCACACTTTATTAAAATGTTAAAGCCTCAAATGACAATTTCTATTTCCTGGATCAAATTATCGAGTGTTTCAGTATGCAATGTTCGAGTCTGTAATTTTATCTTCAACACATGAAGAATAATCCAATTAATGCTACTTGTACATAAGCAATTATATAACGATTTAGATACTGATGAGGTGTGAAAAAGAAAGAATTTTTTTTATACAGTGAAAAAATTATGACCAATCATATCTCCACAAATCATGTGTACGTAAACTACAAGCTGGGATTTGTTGTCCAATTTTAGCTGTCCAATTTATTATCTACTCAATTAATTATTGACACGTTTTTTTAAATTAACATGTCATCAATTTGGTAAGTTAGTGGTGAAGTTAATGAGGATAAATTTGAGATAACATGTTAATTTAAAAATAATATCTCAATAATTAATTGAATGGACAGCAAATTGGACGGTACAAATTGGATAGCAGATCTCAACTTGTAAACCATTATGTAAACATATTATATATATGTAGCACAATCGTAATCCAATTGAGGAATTATTTTATAATAAATTAGCAATGAAGTGAACAAAATATGGCGGATGATGAATAGAGTGCAACATCTCAATGACCACTGTGAAGCATTTTGAAGTCTGATGAGTTAATCGTGACTAGTGTAAATTGAATGAGTAACGAAATAATGGTTTAGTTGAGTTGTAATTTTTTTAATAGCCGTAACTTGTCACATCAGATTTTCGTTAGTTACGTCAGCGAATAAGGTAATGAATTTTTTAAGGGTGATGGATGGAATGCATACGGACAAAGATCACTTAGCAATGTGAAGCACTTTAAAGTTCAATGAGTAAGCTGTGACCATGGTATTAGTTGGGTGATTATTGAAACAATTAACTCATTAAAATGTGGTCAAAATACTATTTAACAATGTATTTTTTTTTTTTTTTAAAGTGAGGTCAAATAAGGTCTATATAGGAATTTTAATTTTAAGGCTTTCGTATGTTATTTTTATATAGGTCAAAGTCAAGCTGGAGTAAGAAAACGTAATCATTCCCTAATAATATATTAAGCCCTCAGAATTCATGTGGGGGACTGGCCTGACCAGAGAGAGAATTCTGCTGGAAAGTCGTAATCCATCATAATAATTCTGTTCTGTCAACATTTATATCGCCTTTTCTGCTAGAAATATTTAACATACTACTGTGTCAGCAAACCCTATAAATATAGGATAAATATATAATATAGGGTTTGGGGTGGGGTGGGGTGGGGTGGAGGTGGACTGTTGAGTGAAGAAAAGTTCTTAAACTCAAAGCTTCAACAGTAACAGAAAGTGACTTTCCTTTGTGTAAAACGTAGGATCGATAAAGCAATGCATGCATGGGAGAATTCTGCAAATAACAGAAGCTTTAAATTTGGTAGAAAATAGATACAGCATTTAATTTTCCTCAGATGGGAATTCAATGCCATCTTCTGCATTGTGAAAAATATCATACACACAGAATAACGAATCCAAACAAACTCTTAAAATGAGTGTCTTGTGGGACTAAAGTCTCTTCAAGGACTTTTGCTATCTTTTCAAGATTTGCAGTCTCGAGGTTAGTGATTTTATGAGGTTAATGAACCTTTTTCTAAATATTATTTTAAGAGTCGAGCCATGGAATTTATGCTTTTGTTCTTATCATTCCGTCCAAAATTGTTAGCTTGACAAACGGTAATTTTGTCATGTCACTCCATTTCATTTTTCGATCTGGACCTAGTTAAGGTTGGATAACCCGACTTTATTGAACCAACTTATCGTCAATGACCTCTATGAGCTCAAAGTCGAAAACGATTTTTTATCACGTTTAGTCATCATTTCAATATTCAATAGTTTTCACGTAAGCATTGGCTGACGAACGGTGGGGCTTGGTGGGCCATGTAATGTTTTTGTCTCAATTTGCAAGGTCATCACGAGATGTCAAAATGAAATCGAAATATTACATTCTTAATGTCATTTCAAAGTGCTCAAAACCTAGTTTTTCACATTGTTAACGGCTCATAACAGGACTATCGTAGCAAATATTATAGGGCATCAAAGTAGGCTGTTTTAAACTAGTATTTTGAAAATGTTATCACGTCTTCTCGAAACTCGTTTCAAGAACTACATTGTAGATATATCGAATGGTCCAAATGAATATCGAAAATAGTTAGACGTGCTCGTCTTTTCTTTAAAAAATTTCAATTATTTTATTGACGTTTATTATTTTTGCGCGACAATTCTCAAAATAATTTACATCATTTTATTAGGAAATTTTACATGGATTTGGACAGCAAGTTTTACTCCTTTCAAGTTGTAGTGGTGTAATAATTTTTGAAGGAGCAACTTGATTTTATAGCAGCAAGACCGAACTAACGATTGACTTCAACATTGTGATTGGCAAACTAGCAATAACCTTTTTACATATTTGATTGTGTCCTTCTAATTCAAAATGTATCCATCCGCCACTGCACATAAGCATAGTCAGTTTTCATCTCTTCAAAAACTAACTCAAATTTCTGTTGTCACCTTAATAAAATTTAATAGATGGAAATGTCACAAACATTGTAATTTATGTATCAAACAAAATATAATAAATGATGATGAGTCATTGATACGTACCAAATGGATTATTAGAATATATTATGCAATCACAATAAATAAAGATGACAAATTCTCATTTCTCATTTCATAAATAAAAATTCATACCTTGCCTCTGCTTAATCAAATAATTATAATTACATGAGACATGATTGCCTCAAATAGTAATGTTTATAAGGAAGCATCATTTGGTAGCCAAGTATTACATAATGCAACAAGAAGATAATTAATTTTCAATTACAGCATTTAAATAAAATTATCTAATATTAATTTCTGGTAAACAAACAAGATTGCAAGAAATTCCCTTCTCTTCTACCTGTTGTGTAAGGGATTTGACCCTGTTGGAACCGCACGCTTTTCGTCTTCATCTTCACCTCCGATCTTGTTTTTCTTCGAAGTGTGGCTCGACCAAGACGAATACCTGAAAAAATGGAGTCTAATGGAGGCACAGCTGATTGCAGAATCTGATGACAATTTTCTATGATCAGAAGAAGAATCTGTTGGGACAAAGAAAATCTCTCTTGCCACTGCTTTTGAACCTATGCCCACCAGAATATGATGATGAACAAGCACAAGTAAAAGCACTGAAA